AATCAATCCATTAATTTCTTGTTTCTGATTTTCTGTTAACTTAGGAAAATGAGCATCTTGCAAATATTTATCTATATCTGAAACCTGTACTTTCCTACCCATATATAATTTTGTATAATAATCTAAAAAAGATTTCTTAATCAATTCCTTCTGATATACCAGTTTACCATTATAATTTATTTTATCTATAGTTCTCTACTTCTGTTTCTTTCGCAATTGATAAGCCAGCCATCTCCCTGGGTTATTAGCATTACAAAATGTATTATGTTTCATGTAAAGTAAATAGGTTGCAGTCTGATCCGCCATTAACATATTAAATTGCGATTTAAGCAATTTTATAGAATCTTTAACCTTCTCATCTATAGGATTCAAAATTAAAACTTTTTCTTTTAATTTAATCTCATCTTCCAACTCCTTGCGTTTTTGCACCTGTTTCTGTCTATGAACCTTATTCATTTGTATCAAGACCCCACACATATAAGCTTTACTTGCATCCCATACCATTGCCATTGAAGTTCCCTTATGCATATTTAAAATAAAATATTCCTTTAAATACTCTGAGTTTCTGAACATTCATTTCTTGTCTAAATAAATTTTCATTCAACCTCCAAGATCTCCTCTCTTCTTTTTCAGTAGCCAATTCCATCCACACTGGGCTGTGATCTGTCAATGTCCTTGGAAATATCTTTGCATTCTTTACCCTAAAATATAAGTCCGTTGTAATAAAAAAAAAGTCAATTCTTGAAAAAGATTGATGTCTATCCGAAAAAAAGGTGAAGTCTCTCTCTTCCATATTATGTTCTCGCCAGTAATCTCGCAACTCCCAATCCTCTTTCAAGTCAAAAAAGGCCTTAGGTAATTTAGCTTGTTTAAAAGAAGCAGAAAGTCCTTTTTTGTCTCTATAAGTGTCTAAAACTCCATTCCAATCTCCCATTAATATAACAGATCTGTAATCCAATAAAGTCAATTTTTGATGTAACAACCTATAAAATTGTTCCTGTTGTTGATTTGGTGCATACAAACCTACTATAAGTATTTTCTTGCCATACAAACCCACTTCAATCATTACATATCTCCCTTGAGGATCAGAATCTATTAAACAGACTGATAAATTTTGCTTAACATAAATAACTACACCCCCTTTTTTTCCAAGAGCAAAAGATGCAAAATGAGATCCCAATCAAATATTAACTAAATATTTTTGATCCTTAGCATTAATATGCATTTCCTGCAAACAAATGTCATTATTATGTAGCTTCAAATAGTGAAATATTTTTTTCCTCTTCTGAGGGGAATTAAGGCCGTTCACATTCCATGCCAGAAGCTTTACCATCTCCATCTTCCAATAGCCTAGAGAAGACTGCTTGAAGATCTACCATTGAAGATTGCACCGATGATCTCTTAGGTCTTGCTTCTCCCACAGGCTCGGAAACAAACTCTTGTGAAGCTTCTTTAACCTCTTTCTTTTGTTGCTCCTTTTCCTTACGTCTATGTGCAGCTCGAGTCATTCTCTGCTCTTTCATCTCAGCTAGTTGAAACCACTCAGCCTGTGGTTTCCCAGCTTGCATCAATACAACTTCTTCAGATTGCTGTTCTACCTCCTTTTCATTCAAAGCTTTGAACATTATAGGTGATGATGAGCATGCTCCCAGGACCGAAGTATAAAACTCCTTTGCTTTAAAAACAGTGTTTAGTCTATAACGTGTCCCCGCACACCTCACCACAATTCCAGTCGGAATATCCCATCTGAATGGCATCTGCCTCTTTTCAAACTCTTTTCTTCTACTTAAAATTTTGGATGGGATCTCCTTTAGAATTATAACATCTTGTGCAGCAATCTGAAACCTCTTATTATAAAAAGCTTGTATAATTTCATTACGCAGAGATCTTTTCCCAAAGTAAATTACCACATCTCTTGGCAGATTTCTTTGCTTTGCAACCCAGGAATTGACTCTAAATATTTTTTCAATTTCTCTGAGTATTTCCTCTTTTTCTCTGTCCAAAATCACAGCAAAGTCATTTGCTACCATCTCTCTCAAATCTTGTTACATATCCTCTTTCAGACCCCTAATTCTTAAAGCATACTCCATCTCTCTATATTGAGACATAACAATCTCATCTTGTGAATTTTCCATCTTTTTTTCCATACCTTCAAATTTTTCCTCCAACACCTCCACTTTATCTTCAACTTCAACATGAGAATCCAATTTTTCAACCACAGAGGCAAGTCCTTTTAAAGCCATAACTATATCTTGCCTCAAAATATTGTTATTCTCCCCTAAGATCTCTTTCATTTCTCCTCTAATTTGAGATATAACATTTCCCATTATATCTTGCAAGTCTTTTACCGTTAGTGGTTGTACAGGAGGAGAAGATGGTGGTGTAGGTTTAGGTTGTTGTGCTGGTAATATCGCTGGAGAAGAAGCCACCTTTGGTACTATAGAAGTTGCTTGGCGCTTTGAAGCCATCTTTTTTTAAAAAAATTTTTTCCTTCTTTCCTCCTTCTTAAAAAGTACAAAAAAAAAAATCCCATACGGAAAGTAAAAAAAAATGAACAAAAGAGAGGGAAAAAGATCCTCCTAAAACTCAAATCCACCTTCAAAAAATCATTATAATAAGAAGAAAAAAAATAGAAAAAGTAATTAAATAACCAAAGCCGTTCCGTCTCCCTAAAAAAAAAAAAATCCTCAAATCGCCATTTTACTTTCCCTCTCAATAAAAAAAAGAAAGTAAAAGTAATTCTTAAAATTAAAGTCCCAAAAAATCAAAAAGTAAAAAACCTCTGATCAGCTCTGTCCGCTTTTTAAATAACTCACCAGTTCTCTTTAATCGCGGAGGTGGGAGCGGCGTCTTGCTTTGTCCCAAGCAGCAAGAGACAAAGACAGCTGAGAAGCGGAGACACCCTGAACTCCGTGGGAGCACTCCTTTCAGCCCCCCCCCAAATTCTTTGGGGTATTTCAGAGGCTCTACCACTATTCAGGGAGATACTCCCCTCCCCCCTTTTGCACAGGAGGGAGGTTTTAAACCGCTGAACAGCTGATGCCTGCTGTTTTCAGCGGTTTTAACACTTTCTCAGGAGGACGGCTACAAAGTAGCCGCCATCGCCAGCGCTACACCACCAGAAGTTGACACACTCAAGAACTTTTGAAACAATTCTGTTGGGATGTTTTTGATCACCCCCCCCCATAGCCCAGATTTGGCAACAAGCAACTACTATTAAGGAATTTCAAATCTTGTAAGACATTATGACAAGTGCATCAGTTTTAATGGTGATTATGTTGAAAAGTAATGTAATGTTGTAGTTTTATAACGTGTATAATAAAAGTTCTGTATCTGCAAGTGTCTTTCATTGATAAAAATGGAGGTTTATTTCCGAATTGTCCTCGTATAATGCTGTAGGGATTACCTCAGTTTCTATTATTGGGAAATATTGGTCTATATTAATTAGATCTGGGGTTTTCTGAAGGCGGCTTTCCTACCCCTTTCTGGTGATGTCAGATAATTACTGTTGAATAAAGAGATCATACCACAGAGTGAATACAGTAGTCGTCCTATTGTATAATCCAAAATTACTGGTGGTACCAGGCCTATGATCAATGGCCTCTGGCAAGCAGGTTTGAGATGAATAGGATCAAGCAACTCTTAACTGTCACAGAGCTTTCCAAGTCTTTTTAATTAATCAGAGCCATTAATGATTTTATTTTGTTAATGAGTGCCTATTTAGGGGTTAATGTGCTGGACTGGCACTAGGAAGACTCAAGGTCAAGTCTAGTCTTATGTAGGTAGTAAGGTAAGCCTACTCCATAATACAATTCACAGGATTGTTACTGTGGTGAAAAATAGGACGGGACTTTTAATTCCTGAAGGAAAGACACAATATAACACAAATGAAAAAAAAAAACCTTATGCTAGTCCTAAGTGATGGGATGACATAAAATCACTGTTTTTAATAGGTTGTGGAGGATTTTCACACCTAATTTGAAAAAAATGACACTGACTTGAGGGCCTTGTGATCATTGTTCCCACCTAGTAAATTTTTGTCTCGCATAAATGGAACACTTGCCCAGAGCCTGCATTGTTCAGGAAGTTACCTAGAGATTCCTTATTTTCTGGAGAGCGAGGCCTAGCTGGAAAGCTCTACGAAAGAACTTACATCCATTGTTCTGTGCCACACCCTTATTGCCTATCGATAGAGTCGCTCCAAGACAGATTTCACTAGGCAATCTCTGCCTGAAAGCAATAGACGATACCCCCCCTTCTTCTTTTTCTTCTTCTCCCCCCCCCTCCATTTACCCAGAAGTGCTTTGGTGCGAATGTGTTTCCGCTGGATTTTCCTGCCGAAGAAAAAGCGAGCTGTTGGCTTCCTCTGACTTGAGAGTTTCTTTTGTATCCTTTCGCACCTCTTTCCTCCAGTGCTCGCTTTGTTTCTCTTCCCCAGCGCTGGAGGAAGCTCCCGTGGAAAAACCAGTGTCTCTGCGATCAGGGCGCAGCAGCAGCAGGAGGAGGAGGAGCAGACAGAGAACCGAGGAAGGGAGGGGAGCAGGGAGCGACTGTGTCCGGGTGGCGTTTTATTGTTCGCGTGCTCCGGTGGGCGGGTGGGTGCGATTTGTTCTGCGCGCGTGCGCGCGCTCAAGAAAGCTACCGCCGCCACCGACTGCTCTTCTCCCACCGCCGGCTCTGGGTTCTTATGTTGGATGTAGCTGCCTGGGAAGAGACGCCTCTTGGGAGCGCCCGTTCTTTCTTCCCGATGGTGTGAATCCGCTTCAGAGCGACCTTCGCATGAACTGAGATCGAAAAGGAACTATATTTAAAGCGGTGAAGAAGTCACGGTAGCCCTACATTGCTCAGTCTCCTATTTCACCGTAAATCAAAGCAGCAACAGAACCCTCTACCACCCTCTTTCATCTCCATCTCCATTGAAGAAGAGTTTTACCCCGGACTGAAGAAAGCGAGAAACGGAAGGGCGGAGAGAAAGAGGGGGGGGGGGAGGAGAAAAGATCTTTCTGAGAAGCAGACACAGAAAGAGAGGGGGAGATCAGGGGGGTGCCGCTTTATATTTTCCCTGTGGCGTGCTAAGTGCTTGGCTCTTTATTTATATAGTTAAGAAATATAACAAAAAGGAAAAATGGCGAATGACTCTCCTGCAAAAAGTCTGGGAGATATAGACCTTTCCTCTTTGCGGGTGAGTGTGACTGGTGGTGTGGGGAAGAGATGAGGATGGAAGGGAAAGCTAGGGAGAAGAGGGCTGTTTGCAGACGATCCTTGGCCGCCTTGTCTCCCTCCCGCTATCCACACAAAGCGGGCGACGTCTTCCCTGGCGTGGCTTTTGTTGTTCGGAGCTGGGTTGGGGCGGAGGGGAAAGGAAGGGAGGGTGAGAGGAAGACTTGGGATTGTACGTTGCGGGGTGGGGGTGGGTGGGAGAAGAAACCTCTATAACGGGGTGGTTGTTACACCCTAAAAAAGGCCCTTTACTAGTTAGCTAGTTGGCTTCCCATTTTGTGCCCTGGGCAGAAGCGAGGGAGGATGAGTCCAGTCTTGGGTTCCTTTCCTTTGTTTGCATGTATTGGCATGTGCGTAGAAAATCAGGGTGAAACAACTGCTCTGCTAAACGATCCACTCCAGTATATGCGTTTGGGGGATCCAGTAATACTTGCCTAAAGATAACAGTCATGTCTTCTTTTACCCCTCCCCCTTTCTCCCAACCATCCTTTCATTTTCCTCACCTTTATTGTGTAGGATCCTGCTGGGATTTTTGAGCTGGTGGAAGTGGTTGGAAATGGCACCTATGGGCAAGTTTATAAGGTTTGTATTAATATTTTTTTTTGTCTTTTAAAAACATTTTATGTATATTTTCCTTCTCCACAGTAGTCATGAATGTTGGGCCATCCCTGTTTTGTGAACAAAAGTTAATAGAAATTAATTTCCTGTGGCTTTGTGGCAGAGGTTATCAGCACACTGACCTATCCTTTTTTTCAAGGGATCTCTTTGTGTTCATAAGTTCATAAGACACTAACTCTTGCTGCCCCTGTTACAAACCAAAACTCTTTTTATCTTTTATTTTTTCATGTGGTATTTCACTGTCTGTACTGGGCTGATAGTGGATTGAATAAACTGGGGATGTTCGTGTCATTATAAAAAATGATCAAATAACTTGCTTTTGAAAAAGAAAGGCTGGCTTTCTTTGTTGTGAATTTGTCAAGGTGTGTGGAACCTGGCATAGTATTGTCTTCAGTGTTACCTCTATAAGAGGGTGTGGATGAAAAGGGTGGGGTGAAAGTGGGCAAAAAGAGTAGGAAAGGTTATTCTCTGGCTGGAAAGCAGAAAATCAAAATTTCTGGAACAACCAGTTTGACAATTAGATGAATTGGGGGGAGGGCACAACCTACACACACACACACACACACACACACACACACACATACAAACACAAATATACATAGAAATGGGTAAGATAAGTTGCTGTGAAAGTCTTCAAGGTATACCCCTTTAGAGGAAACAAATACTGCAATATCATGGGCTGTGTAATGTTTAGTCACCTATATGACTAAGTTTTCCAATGTACATTGTTATGGGAGTGAAACATCAGCCAGGGTTTGTTTATATAAAAGACAAACATTAATTTGAGGAAGTAACAAAATGTATTTCTTGTGCTGTGTTGCAGATCTTAACAACTGTTGTTCATCAGTCATCGATTTTCACATCTGGGTGTACAGCAGAAAGATGCATATTGTGTACATGTAGTTTCTGACATGTACTTGTAGATCATCTTCATATCTGATTGTTGTTGCTGTATGGATTGGTGTACTGTTTGCAATTGTAAAAACATTGGAGTGAGCTGAATTGCTCTGGCCTTGCTTTAGATAAAAAGAACTAGGCCTATGTAGGATTAGAATAAATCACTATGAGTCTGAGTTTGAAACTGATTTATAGGTGACCTTTTGATACCTGGTTTTGATTCTTATTTTTCTGCATTGTTATTGCTTGTGGAGTTTACATCATCTTGGGTGTGTCTTTTTCTGTCTCCCATTCCCCAGAATGGAGTTCAGTTGTATGAATGTATATCTCACTGTCAATTAATTCAAATCATGCAATAGATATAATTTAATCTTACAATATTGTAAGCTAATTAGTGCACTTTTCAGTTGGCAGAAGGTTGATTGAAATACTTTGGAAGTATTGGAAGTAGTACCTAAACACAGCTAGACTTAATGTGAACAAACTGCACAAATATATCTACCTTGAAAAAAGACAGTTATGTAAACTAGTGTAATTCTTCTGATAGGCGATTTCAATTTGGTAATATTACACTGGGATCCAAATGGTTTGATCCTCCCTAATATGCACAATTTTTGCAGTTAAAATTTTAATGTCTTTTTTGAAGGAGTAGCAACGATTGAGTTTTTTCCTAGTTTGAACCTGTATCTAAAACTGTGCCTTTGTTAGCCATAGTGATGCTGAAGATGGGACATTGTGAAGCAGCTACTTGATTAAACTTTTTAGTCTTCATTTCTTCCTTGTAGATTGCTCTAGTCTAAGATGTGGAGCAAGTAAGATACATTTATACTGTGTGCGGATAGTTAAGTTTTAATTTCCTTTCTCTTTTATGGTATTTTTCTAAAGAGTTTGGCATAATAAACCTTAGCAGGTCATATGAAATGTTCAGATCAAAAAGAAATTAAGCTGACATTTTGTTCTAAAGTATAACTTGCTAAATCCTGATTTATTATTTGCTTTTGGCTTGACATGCTTTGTAACCCCATAGATGGCTGGGCTTATGCAGTATAAACCAGTGTTTGCTTCAAACAATCAAAGACAACCAAACCACTTTATAGCTTAATACAGTGTGTCAGTGTGACGTTACAAATACATTTTATGGAGTGAATGTGTTTCCCAACTTGAACTACTTTAAGATGTATGGACCTCAACTCCCAGAATTTTCTAGCCAGCATGGCCATTCTAATAATTCTAGCAGTTGAAGTTGGCATGGATGGGGACCACTTAGTTATTCCATACATTCTCTACAAAACAGCAGGGTATAAGGCCAAGAATCATATGTTCTTCCAGAGGTTGAACTATAACTGCAGGCTTCCCCAGCTACCATGCCTTCCCTAGTGAAGGCTGCTGAGAAGGAGAAAACTTTATCTCTCCCCCCCCCCCAAATATGCACTAACATTTGCTAGATGTAATGGAGTGACTCTCCAAGAGATTTGGGAGTTGCAAAAATTTTACTGGTGCCGTTAGAAAACTATTCATATAACCTTTAGTGTTTAACAGAATGAAGAAGTGTAAATAGTAGATTGGTTTTTTTTCCCCCAAGATTGCTTGAGCTAAAGTAGAAAGAAGAAAAAGAGTCATAGTTTCTTTGTTTTTACAGTTTATTCTTTTCCACGTAAGTTCAGTTTAGATAAAAATCATAGTTTTTGTGGAAAAACTTTGTGGAAGCTTTGTTTTGAAGTTTAAATGATGTGAACGGTTAGAAGTTAGCTGCTATAGTGTACAAATTAAAACATGTTTTCTAGAAAGCAGGATAGTGTTAGAATAGGGAGAGTAGTCCTCTTTACCAAGCTGAGGTCAACTGAATGGCATGTACAGACTTGCTCAGCAGCATTCATTTTTTCTACTGAAGAATAAGGAGAAGCAACACTATGGATATATTTTCTAATGAATTGGATGCCCTGATTGTTCTTGGAGAGGCAATAGAACAAAACAAATGTCAAGCCTCAAAATAAATTAATTATGCTAGGGACTGGTTTAAGTCATTTGAATATATGTTGATTTGGATTTAGCAGAAGGATTGTCTGCATATTATTTTAGGTTCTTAGATGTTACCATAAAATAGAAACTTATAGAAAAAAATGTAAAAAAGTGGGTCAATTCACCAATTCTTTATTATACATCTTAAACAAAAACCTGTACTTTTAAAAGATTTAGATTATTGATGGTATTAAAGCTTATTGCTTTATAATTCTTGTGATTTATATACATTTTTGTCTAAGATCCACTAATAAATAGTGTCACTATCTGAAGTGGTGAATTTTGTTGGTTTTACTTCTGGTTGTTTATGTAGGATTTCACTTATGGTACCTTCATGAGAATAAATGTATGAAATACCCACGTGTATTGAGTTGGAGAAGGGTGACTGGTGGTAGTTTACAAAAATAGTGATATTCAACTTGCTGTTTGCTTTGTTAAGACATGTGACAAATTATATTTTTCACAAAGTATCCTGTCTGCCTGCCTGCCTGTCTGCCTACCTACCTACCTACTGTGAGAAATCTTTATTTTGGCTTAGGGTATTAGCTTTTTATCATCTGGATTTGAGTTTCTAAATATATGTTCAGAAAAACCAGTTTGACAATGATAATGTGTAAAAGACAGCTGAAGAAAGGATATAACCAATGACTTTCCTCTAAAGCACTGAAATAAAAGCGAGGTACTGGGGGGAAAAGGGTCCTTTCCAAATAGCTGCTATAAATATTTCCCCGTATCTGTTCAAAGACCCCAGCACAAGCTAATGATTAGGAAATAACAGGCAATACTAAGGTTGAATACCACAGTAAATGTGCCCTTATAATTGGGAATGGACTCATGCTGCTGCTCTCTAGAACCCTTATGAGACAATCTGCTGTGAAGGCTTCTTTTATTTTATTTATATTTCCTTGTTTGAAGAGCACATATAAATTATGTTCCCTATGTTTCTGGAAAGGGATGTAATGGGGAAACCAGTTGTGTGTGAAAACACTTGAACAACTTGAGATATTATACTTGACAAAATATTATTTTACTGTACATTCTACTTCAGTGAAGTTTTTATCCTTAGCCAGTTGCTCCTTCATTCCTTTGCTGTTCTAGGATAAGAAATCTGCTGTTTATTCCTCTGCTGCTGCTCTATATTAAACTTTCTGACTACATTTCTCTTTTGTTCATCTTTCCCCCAACTGTGGTGTGCTTTTTGTTCTAAATAATATTTCATGCATGTGATGAAATGGTTGTAATCCACAAAAGCTTCTTTTCTAAATAAAATTGTTAGTCTTGAAGACACCACATAACTCCTTGTTTTTGTTGCAGTATACTAACATGTCTAGCCACACTTGGAATTATTAGAAACTACATATACACAATTTTGAAATTATTGATATCGCCATGACTATGTTTAATACTGAAGTTTTTTTTTAAAAAAAATAAATCTGGCTAGTAGGTACCCTCAATATTGTAATAGATGTTTCTTTTTAAGCAGATAAACAATGTTTCTAGTGTTCAATGTTTCAGTGTTCAGTGTTTATTTAAACATGACCATTGCAGGTTAGTAAATAATTTTCTCCTTTAAGAAGCTTTCCCATATCTGGGGTCATTTTCATGTATTTGCCATTGTAGTTCCTAGTATGTGGCACCAAAAAATGATAGTAAACAGCAGGGAGAAATTGAAAATATCTGTAGCATGGTTGGGTAGTTGTCCAGTTTAAGTGAATTTTTCAGAGGATTGTATACAGTTGGAGTATTTCCTACCTATTTTTCCACATTCGTCAGCATTTATAATATCAGCAAATGTAGGTTGTATGTTGCATGTGCAGTACTTCCAGCCTTGTAGGAGGAGAGCTATGTTAGACTATCATAGGAAAAACTGAGAAGTTTGCTTAGGACTTAATACATTTTAATACATTTTATCAAAAGGCTCATATGCTTTTGTGAGATATTGTTTACTTCATCAGATAAGCAGAATGGCTTAGATCAGGGGTGTTAAACTGCTGGCCCGCGGGCCGGTCGCATCATGCGGAGGTCACGCCCATCCCAACTCTGGCAAT